TCTACATACATACACACACACTCATCTCCAACCAGATGTACACAGGTGTCCTTGGAGCTCTACTCCCTGAGGCCAAACGTCAGTAAGCCCCTGAGGATTTCCAAAGGCAGGGAGCCTCTCCCCTCTCCTGAAAGGATTTTTTCAATAAGGCTGCCAGCTTCTACACACATCCCGCCTTCCCAGACAGCCAGGTTTCAAATGTATCCATCCCATTTTCACATGCAACGATGTGTCTTTCTGATCAATATTCCCATCCTTGCATCCCTTCCTTCCTCCATGCTACTCAACAAGCAGAAAAGGAAGTACACACACCCTCCCAGGCAGCCCAGAGGGAGGGCAGGTGTGACAAAGAACACAGACACAGTCTAATGACAGTTTAGCCTGTCTTCTATTCTTTAATTTTCTTGCTAAGTAAGAACTGAAAGAAATACATCAAGGGAGACCTAAACAGAACGAAAAGCCTTCTCTCCACCCTTACTTCACACACACCACCACTATAACACCCATATATTCATATATTTACATATATTTATTCATATTTCTTATGAAGTAAGAAATAAATTACTTCACTCACTTGATTTTTTTGTTCTAAACAAGAAACATTCCTTCAATTATTTATAATTGAATATAATTGAATTTATAATTGTGATAATGCTTAGGGTGGTTAGCATGCAAAAAATTCCACTATTTTCGATACAAATTCTATTTTTCTATCTTCTTTAGTGACAAACGCCAAATCAACATTTTTTAGTTTGTAAAACCAAAGAATATCATGTGGCAATGAGAACCCATTCTAGCTAATACTTTGGAATTACACATCAAGCTACAGTCTAAAAGCCAAAAGGAAAGGGAGGAAAACAATCAACCCTTTCATTTTTCAAGGTGCTTTCAATACCCAGATACACCTCTGAACTGGATTTGGTTGATGGTTGCTTGTTGTGTGCCCAATGTAATTTAATTTTTCTATAATTATTTTTCTTTCCTATGAAGGTTTCCATTTTATAAGGAGAAAGTTGACTATGGTATGTAGTGGGGTACAAGATTCATTGAGAAAAATGTCATTAGCCCTATTTTATTCATTATCTGTAATATGGGCTTATTCATGCATCATACAAACTGCTAAGGTTCTCTTCTGGGATGTGAATTCACATGTTATCAGAACAAATTCAGATTCACTTGTAGGAAAATAAAAAAGAAAAATACTTGCACAACTGAGTTGAAGAGTAGGCTTTTTTAGCCTTTTAGAGATTTTTTTTTTTCCAGAGAGAAAGAGATAGAATGTGGAGAGACCTAATCTAAAACTCTTGGCTTTAGGAACACTAAGAGCTTCCAATTTGATTTAAATAAAATAGAGTTAGCAAACATTTGCAACTGTAGAGAATGAAGAAAAAAAATTAGCCCTAACAAGCCCCCTAGCCCCACCCTTCTGCTCAAAACACTTTATATCCTAGTTCCAACCATTATCTAAAGCTAAGGAAAATAATTTCCAAGATGAACTCTTGAACTCTGAATGAAAAAAAAAATTAATTCTGGGATTTGTTAATGAATAATATTTTAAATGGAAATCTCAAGGATTCAAATTATTCGAATATCCCAATCTTTCAAAGGGAAGGAACATGTTTTAATATTTGAGCAGTTTAATATAAGAATCACATTCAATCAGGTTTTTTTTAGGCCCAAGTGAGCCTCAGAATCTGACAAGGGGAAAAGGAGGCAACTAGGGGAAGTGAGGTCCCTCCCTCTTCCATCGCCGCTGGGACCACCTACCTCACATCTCCTTTTCATATGAAATGGCTATTTGCTATTACAGAAAAGACTCCGTAAGAGAAAGTGAATCTGTAATAAACGAATTGCTTTTTCTCTATCCCCAGCTTTGCTAGGTTTTCCTCATACCTCGCCATCCCTTCGCAACCTCTTCTCCCTTCCCAAACAGAAGCCAACAATAGAAGCCATTTAGCAGGAGATACATATATATATACACACACCTATATATACATATATGTATACATATGTATAATATATGCTTAAATATATATACTTTAAAAATATGTACTTTGGTGTATATATATATATATGCTTTAAATATATTCTATGTATACTCTTAGGTATCAAAAATATCACCAACACCCCAAATTTGCCTTTACTTGAGGAGTAATTAATAAGATCATAATTCTTAAAAAAAAGAAAGGCGCTGCCAAAGCTCATTCCCTGGCGGCAGTGAGGGGGCGTTAAAGGTGCCCGAAGTTGGCTAGCAGGAGGGCTCGGACGGTTCGCGTGCCTGGCGCCAGTCTCTGTGCATGACTCTGTGTCCTTGACTCACAAATTTCACCGCTTAGGGGAGGATAATGAACTCTTTTCTGTTCCTAATTTGTAAAGATATAATCTTTAGTCAGTGCTGCCACGGTGGTGAAGAGGCCTGGGTCATGAACCCAAGGAGGTCAGGGCTCCAACCTCTACCAGGGTCTCTGTCTAAAAACCAAGAGATGGTGGCCGACTGCGACTGCGGGTTCCTCGGGTTCTCCAGAAGAAAGGGCGCGTGTGCGCCTGTGTGTTCGGTACCATCGTACAGTCCCTCTAGAGGTCTCCAGAAGCTGTGGCTTTGCCTTCGCCGGGGAGGGCAAGGCCTAGAACGGTCCGCAGAGCCGTGGGCGCGCGATCCCTGGTCGCCCAAGTCCACAGAGCCGGGCACCCCCCGGCCCAGGACCGCCCTGGCGGCCAAGGCGCGGCACCGGCGCTGCCAGTAGGTGTCGCTGTTCCCCTGCCGGCGGGAGCAAGGAACCCTGCGCGGGGCCCCAGCGCCAGTGAGCCGCCCGCGCCCGGCGGGCTCACAGCCCCACCGGGGCTCCGCAGAGAGGGCCGTTCCCCTCCCGCCCCCAGCCCGGGACCGTGCCCTCGCTCACCTGGCCACCACCGCAGCCACACTGCGGGTCTAAGGGAGCGCCTTCGGGGAGAGAAAGGAGGGACGGTTCCTTTGGGGCGAGACCTGGGGCCCCGACGGAAGCAGCTCGAAGCCGGCTTCTCTCGCGGCTACCAACTCTCCCTCCTTTCTCTTCACGTGCCTCGGGCGGCGGCGGGCCTTGAGCGCATCCTGGTAAAATTCCGAGCCCCGGGATTCAACCCGGGCTCCAAACTGGCTTTAAAAATAAACAAGAGGTTGAAATCCCAGCTTCGTGGGAGCTAGCCACAGAAAGAGTGGATTGGCTTCAATGTGTTTGCCTCAAAAAAAAAAAAAAAAAAAAGAAGAAAAAGAAAATAAAGAAACCCGGGCCTGGCTACATGCGTGAGCCACCTTGCACGCACGTATGCACGCGGCGGTGCCCGGTGACCGCGATCGCGCCTCCCGCCCCCGCCCCCGCCCAGGAAGGAGTCAGTGTTTGGAATGTGGCTGTCTCCCCCCAAAGCGTTGCTCGCCGAGTATTATTTCCCCTTCGGAAACCTAGCAGTTAGTACCTCTTTGGAATCTGTATTGAAATTCTAGGCATTGAGAATTCTGCGCCCTTCTCTGGCGTCCTGCGGCTCCCTGCCTTCGGCCTCAGTGTGCCGAGTTAAGAGATTATTAATCAGAGGCGTTCTTTTTTGTGTGTGTTTCAAAAGGAGGGCGTTTGGCTTATGAATACCGAGAGGGACATTTACAATGGGTACATCCCATAAGTAACTGGAGATTTTATTATGATTCTGATTGTTTTGTATAGGGAAAACACTACTCTGATTTGAAGATGGGGAGGAGGAAACCGCATTGAATAAGCTAAATTCAGAACCTCGAGTTATTGAAAGAATTGGTATGCAAAACGGAACCGGCTGGGTTTTTAAATTAGCGTTTAAAATTGTATCTTCAGTCAAAACGTGGGGACATTTTGCAGTGAGTTTTTTAAAAGACCCACACTTTATCCTTTTTTTTTTTTTTTTTGGTAAAAGTAATAAATTTGTGAAGAGGAAAAACCTAATCAGATACCTAACAGGATAGAAGAAAAAGTCTCACTTAAAGTCCAAAATATTTCGGAACACATTTCGTTCCTGACCCTGGGCCACTGTCTCACTATCTCGGAGTACATGGCTGGACGAGTGCTAAGTATTCAAGGCAAGCCTTAATTTTTATCGTGAGGTTGCCAATATCACCTTTAAATGTCACGCCTTTTGCTATGTTGCATAAAACTGGCTCCTTTCTGTTAAGTCCTACATCTGTTATACAATTCTAAATAATTATTTCTGATTGAGACGGCAAATTAATCAATCGGTGACGTCGTGGTGGCAGTGGGGAGAAACACGTGTCTAATTGGAGGTTGTGAAGTTCAGAGAGGTGGTATTTTTAGCTTGGAAAGTCCAAATTCAGATATTTGGGTATTTCTCCCCCTCCCATCGTTTCCCCACCTAGTCCTCATTTTACTCTCTTTCACTCAACCTTTTGGGTTCCCTCTCTCTCTCTTCTCTCCCCTTCTTGCTTCTGTCTTCCCTCACCCTCCTACAGCGCCTCTCCCCTTTCCTTGCTCTTCTCCTCCTCCTCCTCATCTCTCCCTCTCTCTCCCCTCTCATTTATTGTCTGATTCTATCAGTCAAGTTAATATAAAAGTAGCAAATGGGAGGCCCAGCACCCTTAGCAGGCCCTCTCCCCGACGCGTGCAGGGCACTTGAAGGAGATGTCGGTTGCTGCCAGGTTACGGGCCGGAGTAGTGGCCCTTAATGCAGGGCACGCTGGTTGCGGAGGAGTTGGGGTCTGCGCGGGGTTGCGGGGCTTATTCAAATACCGCCCGCTGCTGCTGTGATTCGCAGGGACGCGGCCTCCATATGGTAATGCGGGGCGGGAGGGGAGGCGCGGAGGGGAGGGGAGGAGAGGATGGGGGTGAGGGCGGGGTGGGAGGGGGCTCCGGCACCGCGCGCTCGGCTGCCGGGCTGGGACAGAGCACCCGGACCCGCGGCGGCAGCGGCAGCGGCGCTACCCACCCTCTGCCCCAATACCCACCGAGCCAGCGAGCCACCGAGCCACGGGCCCTCGGGGTAAGCCACAGCGCGCACACGGCAGCGACGGTGACGGTTCACAGGCTTCGGGTTACTACCATGCACCAATAAGGGAGATTAGAAACAGAAAAGGAGATTACAGGGAGATCAGATATAAGAGGTGTACCTTTCTGTGTTCCTTGTCACACAGCGTGCGCGCGCGCGCACACACACACACGCATCTGTACACACATGCATGCTCAGATAGCCGTACATGCACACATTCCTTGCTACTGCCATCTAAATATATGCACCGACACTCTATGCCCTGCAACGTGGCCGGTGTGTTCGTCCTGATCCTGCATAAAGGCAGGCAGGTGTGTGCGAGAGTCCAGGCAGGAACAAACAGCCACGCACAATTTAATTGCAGCCAAACTCAAAGAGACAGTTAGCTTGCTGAATTGTTTCAGTCAGCCAGGTGCCCCCCAGAAACTGGCAATTCTGCAGCCAGTTGTGGAATCCTGAAATTATTTTTAAAATGTGCTGAAAATGTACTTTAGGAAACATAATCTTGCTATATATGGCCAGGTAAGGGCAAACCTGAAGGATGAGTGTGGTTCCGTTTTTTAATGTTTTACGTGTAGCCATCTGACCACTTTTTATTGGGTGACATATCATATGAGCACTTTGGTGTAGGCTTGGAAAAACTACAGCCATAGGTAAGGCTGGAAATGCCTTAAGAATTAAGGGTGCTAAAAATGGATGCTGGATAGTCCAGCATGAAAGATGGCATACAGCTGTAGGTTTGAAATAGGGAGAAATACATGTGAATATTTATACATGAAAGCCATTGAAGAGGGCTGAGTCTTGCCCTGAGTATCTGTGCAGGTAAGTCATTCATAAGAAAACTAATTACCTGTGCATGTACTTGGACTTGTTTAATTGAATAAGCTGCATGTGTGCATATTTGCCGGGTTTTCTTTTTTTTTTTGTGGCTATGTAATTATGGATTGAGTCCTTTTAAAAATGATAGCTTTGGGGAAATTGTAAAAAGTGGAATATATGTACATTTTTTCAAAAGCCATCGTTCTGAATAGCTATATTGCCAGGAAGGAGAATCCAATCCTATAAACAAGATTGCCATTTCTTGAAATCTAACTCAAGGCCTGTATATTTTAGGGCACACCAACTGATTTAATATAGTCAACTGTTTTATTTGTGTAATTGTCTTCATTTCAAAGGCAGGATTTAAGGATGCTTTTCAATCAAGATAAAGTGCCTTGTTTCCAGCCATATTAAAATAAAAATGAAACTCACTAAATTTTGAATGCAGCAGATAAGGTACAACATACAACATGGTTGAAAATGTCTTCCTTGCAGAAGGCTGTCCATTGCTGTGTCTACACATTTTAAAATAGATTTTTTTTTTTGCAATAAGAAATGCTAGAAAGCAATAGGGTGGTGAATGCCGCACTTCTCAGTCAATGAGCACAAAAATTCTTTAGAAATCTTTGGAATCACTTCACTTATACATACATCATCTCAAAAACACTGCCCCCTCCCCCCGCACTGTGTTTCAGCTAATATGAAGTTAATTAGACCATCAAACTTTGAGCCTTGAGCTATGGGCATTACAGCCCATCTAGGGGTATGTCAGGAAAGAAAAAGAAAAAAAAATGTGTCGTTTCTTTTATGACCAAACAGGTTATACAGCTGGCAATGCATACATGACAGATGTGCATATTTGTAACCTTAAACAAACAGAAGCAGGGAGACAACTGTGTATATTACCTAGCAAGAGACAGCAGCAGACACTCGCCAAAAAATAAAGACAGACAGAAAGGGACAAGAAAGACTTTGATAGACATAATAAAATAGCAAAAAATGGGGAGGGGGGAACCAACAAAACGATACAACCTGAAATTTTCACGAATTAAAAAATGCAAATATACCTTTACATATGCATCAGTATTAAAAATAATACACGCTGGAACCAACAGGAGCGGGAGCAGGAGGAGGAGGTGGAGGAGGAGGAGGAGAGGTGGAGGAGGAGAGGAGGAGGAGGACGAGGAGGAGGAGGAGGAAAGAATGGAGGCGCCCTGGAGCCCTGATTATGCATGGGCTGGAGCTGCCTCCTCTAACCTGTTCTTCTCCGAGCCGGGCAGCCGGCGGTCCTCAGCCGCCCACAGAACAGGAGCCGAAACAACCGTTCCCGAAGGCTACAGCGTTTATTTTTCTCTTTTGGGGGGTTTTGGCGGTTGTTTCAGGGGCTCGCCAACTGGCCCCTTTAATTAAAAGCTTCAATAAAAGGCGATCGCGCCAGGAATGCTCCCGCTCCAGATAGCGCAGGATTTGCATATTTTTTTAATGCCCTAATTTCCTTGATGTATGTAAATGTAGCCGGACGTAGAGGGAGACAGGGAGCTGACGTCAATGGACGTGACCTCGCAGCTAAACCTTGAACGTGAAGCCGGGATGGGGGAAAACACGGAGCGGCAGCCGGCGGAGCCCGAGAGCGCGGGCGGCGGCCGCGGCGGCCGGGCTGGGGCGGAGGTGCCAAGGGGGCCAGTGCTGGCCCCGGGGGAGGACAAGCCGCTGCCTTCTCTCTGCACCGCGCGGCTTCCACCCTCGCCAGCCTGCCAGCTGCACACGCGGACGCTTGTCCTGCGCCTCCAGCCCCATCAAATACACGTCCTTTTGCTTCCCTCAGAAAAGCAACACACCCCAAAACAACAAACCAAAAACAACAGATAAGCCAAATCGAATCCCCAGATGTTTTAGGCCAATGCTCGGGTAGCTTATCAGAAAGAAGACTCTGACAATGGAACATAATTTTTTTTTTTTTTGGCTTCTTTCCACAAGAAGAGGAGGGGGAGACCACAGACAACAGCAAATCACTCCTAAAACACAACTACACGTGTTCCCTGTAGGGAGAGGTAAATCGCCCAGCCGACTGGTGGGAGCTTCTCGTTTCGGTATCTATTTACCTGTTCACTCATTTATGCGCGTCGGCTTCATTAACAGCAGTGTCATGAGCGCGCGTTTTGATGTGATGGGAATGCCGTGTGTGTGTGTGTGTGTGTGTGTGTGTGTGTGTGTGTGTGTGTGTATTGGGAGGTGCTCGGGCTGGCAAACACCAAGGCAGGCGCTGTGAACCAGATGAGAGACACCAGTCTTTCCATGGCCACATCTGGGACTTATCTGCGGAGCTATCTAGGTCAGAGCTCCTAGGCTGGGGTTCGAGTTCACCCCTTTGAAGGACAAGGCCTGATAAGGCTTCCCCTGAACAGGCCCTTCCCACTGCATTGTCTGGGGAAGGGGGTCTGAGGTGCTAGCCCTTCCGTAGCCGCCGCCTTGCCGGATTTGGCCTGGCGGTTTTCACTTGGAGCTAGGCAGCCTGGGCGCGGAGGTAGCGAGTCCGCGAGACGCCGCAGGGAGGCCTTCCGACTCCCCTTCTTCCGCCCCGCGCGCCAGGCGGGAGCCGCTGGCACCTCCCTGTGCACATCCTCCCCCGCCTCCGCTCTCCACCCTCTCCTAGGCAGCTAAGAAACGGTCCTCGGCCTCTTCTGAGCCGGGGAGCAGAACTGCCAGCAGGCAAGAAAGGGGCGCCGGAGGCCGCGGTGTAGGCTTCTCAGCCCTGCCCTCGGCCGCCAAGGCTGCCGTTTCTTCGTTCCACCTCGCAGCCCCAGCTTTGTTTTCCTCATCTGCTCGTGGCCACTGGGCCCCACGCCTGCGAGGGGAGTGTGTGCGTGTGCGCGGGGGGCGGGCGCGCGCGGCGGGCGGGGGCCCTCCCGCCAAGGACACGCTTGGCTGTCTGTCCTCCGGCTGCACTTGGCGGGAAAGCTAGGGGCAGCCGGCGGGGCTGCGCGCCCGCGGTTCTCATTACTGCTTCCCCGCTCCCCCCGGGCCGTATTTACATACGGGCCACTCGTCTGAATTTTACTGCGCTCCCCCCCGCATCCCCTCCCTCCGCCTCCCGCCCCCGGTCGCACGCGCGCAGGCTCGGAACAACCGCCTGGGCACGCAGACACCCGCGCCCAGGCTGCGGCCCGCCCCGGGCGCGCAAACAGGCCCAGGGGGGCAGACGGCCCTCGGCGGGACGGATTCCTGCACCGCCTCCCCGCCTCCCGTGCGCCCACACCCCTGACAGCCTCCTCGCTCGTGTTGCAGGAAGCCCACCTTCTCCTCAAAGCCCCCACCCTTCCCTCTCTGCACATTTCCACCCCCACCTTCCCACGTCTCTGTCTCTCTTTCCTTGGAAAACACACACACACACACACACACACACACACACACACACACACACACACGCCTTTTCTTTCCCCTCAAATAGATAACCCCTATGGCGCGTCCCTGGTACCTTTAGAATAGCTCTGGAGTTAGAGAATAAAAATCTTTATCATGTATTGCTTGTCTTTAGCCAAACACATTTAACAACCACAACAAAAAAGGGGGGAGAGGAGTGAGGAAGGGCAACTTGAACCAAAAGACCTTTCTTAAAAAAAAAAAGTCTGCAAGTCAAAAGGTCATTCTCCAAGTTTGTAAATAAAATTGCAAAAGGGGTCCTTAAAAAAGAAAGAAGGAGAGGAAAGAAGGAAGAAAGGTAGAAAAGACCCACAAGTTACATAAAATGGTGCATTGGAGAAACAAACAAGGGCGATTCTTTTAAAAATTTTTGTTAAGAAACCTACAGGGGAAAAAAAACTGGAGGAAAAAAGAAAAAGAGAGGAAAAAAAATAAAGGCAAAAGAAGTTTCCAAAGAAATGTGTGCTTTGCATCCTACAATAGGAAAATGTAGCCATTGCCCTCCTTCAGACGAGACATTTCTAATTTGTTCCGTCTGTCAGAAGGGGACTATGAGAGGTTTGGGTGCAAATTCATTATCTCTGGCAACGCAGAACGTAGTGTGGGGACTGAAAAAGACCGTGGCAATGGATGAACAATAGGGCTTCAGTTCATCAGTAACAAAAGCAGTGGGGAAATTGGTTGAGTTTCAGAGCACGTCCTCCTCGGCAGAGGGGGCTGGACTAGACCTTGGACAGCCCCCCCAAAAACTTGCCAAGCCTCGCACACACCACTTCACTCTCCACTCCGAGGCTCAGGGAGCAAGTGCCTGATGTGGGGGGGAAAAGTTGTTTTTTTTTTTTTTTTTCCTCCTTGGTGTTTTGCGCCCTTCTCTCTCTCCCCAGAAGGGAAGACCCGTTTAAACTATTTTAGACGCAATCAAGCAAGAATCACTATGTGGAATTGAGCGCCAGTTTTAAATGTGCTGAGGAGAGGAATGATCTGATTTTTTTCTTCTTTTTTTTTTCTTTTTCTTTCTTTCTTTTTTTTTTTTTTTTTTTTTGGAGACGCCAAAAGGAGCCTGTTTGTGTGCTGCGGCCGCGCTGTGACTCTGGATCTTGTCTTCTGGCCAGCGCTTCGATTCCTGCCCAGCTGGATTTGGGTGGCAACACTGCCTGGCGCAGGGAGATCAAGTGAGTATCCTGGCGGCCCGCAGGCTGCAGCTCGGCCGGCGGCACTGGGCCAGCGGTGCCCGCCTCGGCCTGGCGCCCGCACTCAACACCGCGACCGCGAGCTGGTGCCCGCAGAGCCCCGCTGCAGACCGCTCCGAGGGCCAGTCCGGGGCTTTGCTTCAGCTAATTGATTGTGTGCCTCGGATGCTAAACCTGTTGATCTCGTGAGTTTTCTGAGCCGGGACTGTTAATTATCCAGCGGCCTGACCCCCAATCGCAGAGAGATGCCACGGAAATTTTGCGCTAGAAAAGGGAATTTTATATTCTATTTTGTGTTGGTGGTGGTAGGACTTTTCTCCTTTAAACCTAGAGCAAAATACAGTTGTATTCTGGATTCAGAATCCACATTTTGAATAATTCGCCTCCCTTTAACCGCCCCAAAGTTGCAATTACCTGGCAATGAAGCGAAGGTTTGATTAGGTCTGGTGGAAAACTTATGTACAGTAGCTAACTAAATCTGGTTGGTTTCCACTTCCTTTTTCTCTTTGCCTTTTGGATTTGGGGAAGCTTGAGGCCGCTTTACGGGGTTATCCCAAGTTCAGCTTCATCAGGACGCAACCGTCCTGGTTAGTTATTGGGGCTTGAGCGGTTGAGCTTCAGACGCTCCTGGTATCGTAGGAGCCCAGTCTTTCGGTTTGCTTGGAGCCCAGACCCGACTGAGGAAGGCAAGACCTCCTTTCTGTGGCCTGGAATTATCTGCGGGAACCCTTGGCGAAGGGACCTCGGGCAGTGCATTTGCATTAGTGTCTGAGGCATTTTCTCTTGCAAATGTACCCGCGGTGCTTGAATGGGGGACTGTCTTGAGGGGTCAGGGCAGCAGTGGAATTGAGCAGAAGTTAGACCGGAGGCCCTGTCAAGTCACGGCCACGGCCGGGGGTTGGGGGGTGGGGGGAGCCCTTCGGAGCTGTGGCTGTCTTGGGCCCAGAACGGCGGGGCCGGATCCAGTTTCCTCCCTCTCCTCGTGTCCAGCTTTGCCTGCCACCCTCCTTCTCCACCTTGGCACCAGTAATTAGGGCGCTGTCTCAGGAAGCGAGCTCCCGTAGTCAGCATAATCGAACTAGGGCAGTACTTTCATTTTGCAAAACCAATAGTCCCACCCTTCCAGTCCAAAATAACAATAAGCATAAAAAATCATAAGAGAAAAGCAACCTATTTTGGGCGAGTGTGAGACTGCTTTACTCTTGGATCACAGAGGAGTGGGGGAAGGGAATAAAAAAATCCACCACTTTACAGCAATCAGGTTTTACATTATTCATTGATTTACTGGAGGCAAGAGCCAATCAGGAGCCATAGATGTGAATGCACATCTCAACGTGCTGTGGCCTTACAGTAAACTATTTGCATCTTTCTAATACATTAGATATTTATCCAGGGATTCCCATTGTTTGAAAGGCCTGGAAATTCAGTCTCTTAAACATTTAGGAAATAAGACTTTGTCCAGTCTTAAAATCCTTACATGGAAGGACTCTTCTCTTTTGTATGGCAGGTTGCAAGGTTCAAGTCCCTAGTGTTTCTTAAGAGTCCCTCTTCCTTCCAAGCTAAAAATAAAAGAAGAAAGAAAAATTAATTTCCCACACCCCTTCAGATTCTGCATATTTTGCATTCCCATTATCATGCATATCTCCATTTAAATGCAAATTAGCATATTTAACCCTGTGGGTGCTAAGACTCAGGATATAGTGTGCTGGGGTTTTATGGAATTTCTTGGCATTTTAAGGAATCATGGTAATTGGGATACTTTAAATAAAACCATATCTGTATATGATTTTATATACATATAAAAACTGTGATTTTTTTTTTTACTATTTTTCAGATGAGACTGCAAAGAAGCATAAAATGAATAGACAATCCAACCAGCCAAAGGTAAATTTAAAATTTACATTTGATAAAATTGAAGTGAAATACAAATTAAAATAGAGTATTATTTACTGGGTAGCAGGCCTGAAGTGTGTTGCATATCTCCCAATTCATGCAATAGATAGAATTTCGGAGAAATCTAAGTTTCCATATCTACAGTTTTTTCCCCCTGTAGGGAGCCTTTGTATATTGTATATCAAGCATAATACAAACGTAACCTGTAACTGCCTATAAAAAAGGGAATTCGGGATACAGAAGAAATAATAGAATACTTTTATTAGAAAGTAAGCCAGTCAAGTACCTTGCCTGAACTATACAAATCACTGTAAATTAAATGGCTTTTATGTAGAAAATGGTAATCTTGACTGTAGTAATGGACTGTGGTTTACATGCATGAGAATCATACAAACCAAATATTAAAAGGGGATTTCAGTGGTCGCCCAATTCTTCATGTACTCTGCAATAGTTTGACTAGGATTCAGAGCTGTTCTAAATATTGGTGACAAACTTGATGTATTTGAATTTATGGAATAACATAATTATGACCCAAATATGTGGAAAATCATAACTTTTCACTTTTAACTTAAGCAGAGATTGTTTATTCCCAAGTAAGCCAGGATGTTTCAATTCATGTTTCAGCCATCTGGAGACCTATGAAAAGATTAGAAAACAAGCATGACAATCACGTCCTAATCTACCGGCCATTAATGGGAATTTATTAGCGAATGAGCAGGCAAGCCATTTAAATTCAGTATATCTTTCAATATGCAGATTTCAAATGAGTATTCTGTAGCTCAGCTAAATAGCTTTTTGAAAGCAAAAGTATCTGATATGAAAACATGTAGGTGTTAATAGTTGCTAGTAACATGTGGCAGACATTGCTAAGAATCTTTAGAGCTATACAATTGTTTCAACTTGTCTCACATTCTACATAATAATACAGTTCTTGAAATATATATGCTAGACCATGACATAAACCTTTGCAATATTGAAAGTAATAAGATGCTCAATTTTAAGCCTTATTTTGTATTTTTATTTCTCCATACCCTGAGAGATGATGGAGTGGTAAAATATTTAATTGGCTATATGGCTAATGAACAACTGCCCATATTTCTAATGTTGGCTATTTTCGCTTATTGGGGCTCTCATGATAAGTCTATGGTGTATATGCCAGGCATGGAGGCCAGTGCTGGAGTCAGTTGATATGGCTATGGGCATTGCCTTAGAAGATGCTATTTTAAGAGAGCACCTTCTGTAGCTTCTAATTGTAGAAGCATCACAAATGTTCAGTGTCTTGGCTTTCATGATGGATACTTTGGTTCTGAAAATGCATTTGTATAAATATAACCACATTAATTTGCAAAGTCACACAAATATGGGAATGATAAACATACACATACATAAAATGCATTACAACTCTCTACTTTCACCAACCCTCACCCAGGTATATACCAATAGAAAGATATTCTAAAAATATCTGGAATTACTTGGGCTTTGACTTAAGGAATTGAATTCATCTGATTCCATGCTTGCTTTATGTAATACATGCCAAATCACTAATGATTCTGCTTCTATGTCTTGGAAAGCAAGGCCAAAACATTCTCAATCTTCCAAGGCAGCCAAACTCATTAAGGTTTTACATAATGTCAAAAGTGGTATGTGCCTTAGTGATTTGTTAAATTTTTATTCAGTAGTCTATGCTGTGACCACATAGTTCAAGAAGGAACAGTAACTCCAAGGGAGTGTGTTTCTCTGAATTAATTTGTAGTTTACATGTGCATTTTATGTATAACCCAACATAGCCATTTCTGATTGTACCTCTTGTACCCTAATTTGATAAGAAAAATAGATGAGCAATTTCCACAGCTTAGTCTTTTCTAAATAATCAGTACTGGAATGCTCACCAAAAAAAAAGTAAATAAATAAAAAATCTAGGGAAAAGTTGGCATCTATGCTATCAAATCATGTCTTTACTTGGTATGATATTGTTGTTTCAATTCTTGGTTGGGGGCTTTTCCTTGGAATTCTGGTTTTCTTTACTTGTCAGTCATTTCTATATAGTTTACATATATGTGCTCTGTATGTAATTTGGTAAGCATGTTTCCACTCATGCCTTAAATGAATAAATCACTGAATTAATGAAAGAGTGTATGTTAATTCTGAAAGTGTTTTAGTCATTGGGGAATCAACCTATAGAAATGAGAGAACTGTGATAAACTAGTGATGAGTGCAATGAATATTAAGATTTATTACATTCTCTTGTAGCATATATTTCAAAGAATAGCAACACCACCAAACGTAACACAATTCAAAAAAAAACAGTTTTTAAGGGTTACTCATGGTGAATATGCATTTTATGTAGACTATCTTAGATGTCTGTTGAGAGGCATTTGAATATTAGAACTATACATATTACAGATGCATCACATAGAGTACCCATTATGAAGGAGAGAAGATGAAGAAAAAGACTCTTTGAAGTGATCATATTCACACTTTGAAAAGTTCTAAGAAAAGCAATGAGGCTGATTAATTAATAAAACAACATTCCCCTCTAGATAGAATAAAGGTGGGGGTGGGGAAGGTGAGGTGGGGGTAAGTTATGCTTTTAACATCCAGATGTTTTATATGTATTTTTCATGAAGTAACAATGCTTTTTTTTCATAGTTTCATAAGCAAAGCTAGTATCATTTTCTTTCTGTATGAAAACTGATGTTTAAAACAATAGACAAAGGCCCAGCATTTTTATTACAGCAGAGTTGTATGCAACATTAGAAACTATTGCTGCAATGTTTACCTGTGCTGCATTCTGACACACACATCCTATATATGCAGTCATTTTTTAAAAACCAGGATGAAGTCCGCTTGCTTAGAGTATTCAGTTTGAACTTACAGGACAAAATATGATGCCCTATCGCCATGGTATATAGATACAAAACATGACTGAGCTGTGAAGCCATTAAAAACACACCACCAGAGCAAATTGTCAATGTAATCACACATCGACTCACTGCGTAATACAGATCTGATTCCCATCCCCAGAAAGCGAGGCCCTGCTTTAAGCAATAGCAAAGTGCCTTCCATCTGTCTGCCTATGCAATCTGCCAGAAGAGAAATGCAGGAAAGACGTTCCCCAGATCTGAAATGCTTTTATCTGTCCTTAGAGAGAGATTTCTTCCAGTCTTTGGATATTAGAGCGATCTACACTAGCACCGAGGAGGTAAAAGGCCGCGGGTTGCTTTTCCAGAAGCAGTCTGTAGTGCTAGCGGAAGAGATGTTGATTGAGAAAATAGGGCTTGTTGCAATGCTGCCGCTACTGCTGCTGTCGCTGCCGCTGCTCCGGCAGCAGGCTGGGGCAGTTGGCTGATCACTGATGCATATCAATAACCATGTACTTGAGATTTCTCATGACATCATCATTACCTTGGTCTCCCGCGGTCTCGAACCTTTGACCTTGCCGGGCTGGTCCACAATTTGGCAGTGCAAGCCCCTCCAATGATGGCCCTTTTCTCCTTCTTTCAGACCGGGGGCAGCAGCAGGCCAGCAAGACGGCATCTTCTCCTCCCCAGCCTAGAAGCCCTGTGAAATCGAGGATCTTCCCCCTAAAACACACATACACAAGATATGTGCAATCAAGCTGCCACCGCTTGGTAAAAAGCTCATGGTGCCTAACCCAAAAGGATCAGGAGCAGATCCTTGAATCAGCTGTCACTTCTATAGAATGGGATTTTTTTTTTCCTTCCTCCTTAACCTGCGCTGGAAATTGCCGCTGGCTTTATACATCTCTATAGAGGGAGGCTAAAGAGTCTTGCGTGAGAATGAAGCAATTTACAATGCAAATAGAGGCCTGTGAAGGGACGGATGCTGCTGCTCACTCCTAACAGCTTGCTGCACCTTAATAGCTGGTTTTATTTTCTGATATTAATAGATGAATCGTTGGCTCATGCTGCCGGAGATTACTTGCTGAAAGGAAAAAAAAAAAAAAAAGTTCGGAATAAACTCTGAAGGCAACAGATCTCGTTTGGATGTTTTAGCTGCACACACACAAACAGAAACCAGGTCATATTTGCATAAAAGGAGGAATCTTAAGCGCGGCAAGTATCCCGGACGACGACTATTCGGTACTGCCAGAAAGGATCGGGATCTGGAGTCTGGCAAGAGGAAGACAGAGGCATGTGAGGGAAGCGAGTTGTTATCTTTGGTTATCTAGCTGTATGAGTGTATTGGTCTTCATAAAGCTAGATAACCGAAAGTAAAAACTCCTTCAAGATCGCCGGGGAGCGTGTGAGAATGAAAGACTACAGCCAAGAGACAGTAAAAACAAAGGTCAGGAATACTTATTGAATCTAACTTTTTGTTTTGCTTTTTCCTTATGATTAAAGGTGGATGAGAGAAAATTAAGTGCACATATATCCTGAAATATAAAGGTGCCAGATATCTTGAGAGGGGTTGTTACAGCTGCAAAGGAGAATTGTATAGTGCTAATGAGTAAAGATGCATGTGCAATTTGTTCTCTTTTAAGGTAAAAGTTTATATGTGAGGGATTTTGTTTTTCTTAGAAAGCTGTTGTAGAGATGTCTGGTACCTAGTTTAGCAATGATTCATAATATGTAGACTTGGGCAGTTCCTTTCTGAGGCCCCTCCTTCTCAAAATTTGCAGATTGTGCTTGGAAACTACTTTTCATGTATTTAGGCTGTATGTCAAATTATATGAAATTAGACTTTAAAAAAAGTTTATACTGGAAAAGTTAATAATTTATATCTACTGAGGACTTAGAGCTAGCAGGGAAAATGAAAAAAAAAAAAAAGCAAAGGCTGATTTTTTATTCTTCTATTCAAAATACAAGGACAGATGCTTCTCTGTTCCAAGAGGGTTTCCTTGAGGAAGCTACTGAAGCAGAAAGACATGATGGAGACGAGATCGCCTCCCCTCTTGTCAAAGTGTTAAAAAAATGTTCTGTCTTACTCTGCGCCTAGCATTGGAAATGAAAGTGACATTTACGCCACAACCCACGTGTGCGCCTCCTCTCTTTTTGTTTAAGGATGATCAGGTCTATCCAGGAAACAGCTCTGGCATCCCAAACTGAAATAATTAGGACGTATATAGACCTGACAAAAATGGAAAGGGGGTGGGGAATCTGAGGGTCTGTCTTGCCTAATTGATTCCGCTAAACGGAATGCAGGAGATGTGAACGGCAGGACGCTCCGATTCCCACGCTCGGGGGCAAGTGGTAAAGCGGGCCCGGCAGCCTATGACAGACAGCCCTGTTGGGGGGTGGGGGTATGAAAAAAACATCAAGTGCACACACCATACTCATCTCCATCGCTTAAGAAAGTAAAGGCATTTCCCACCCACAGCCATCTGCAGCTTCCCAAATGGCAACACCAACTGGTCTGTAGCTGCTGCATACTGTCTGCTTCTGTTAATTTTTTAACCCGTGTTTAATTTGGCTGTAATTAAGTTTGGCTTTCTTCTTTGGTTGAGATTTTCAATATTCAAGGAAAGCTAGTAGAAAGCAATTGCAAAAAATTCCCATGACTGCCTGCCCCTCACGTCAAATTCTCAGTCTGTACTTATGGCCTTGTGACCCCCTTTTGGCTTTTGTTTTGAGTGGGTTATGTTTTAAAATACTTGTCTCTATATTACAGTCATTATTATGACTTCATCAGGTTGTTTACATCTTACTGTGATACATCTAGGAACTTGGCCTAATTATGCTAATAGATGCACACTGGAAGTAAAACTATAAAGTCATTAACTTAGAAAATTGATTGCAATAACAATATGATAAAAGGTTGTAGGGAATAATCTCAGCTAGATGGTTCTGAACAGCCATTTTTTAAAAGCCTAAAAATAATTATGTCCAACAGAAACTTTGCAGCTTTAGAGGTCCTCATTGTAGTCTTTTCCTAAAACTCCTTAGGTTTTTCCACAAGTCACCAAACAATCATTTGTGTAGGCATTTAACACATAAATACAGCCACTGCAATAAGAAAATGTCCAAAATGGCCTGTTATCTTCCACATGGCCTAGATTATTGACAATCCCAAATATACAGTTTTTCTTCAAAAGCAGTACATTTTCCTTTGTAGCTTCAACTCCTTATAAGACCTCAGACTGGAGAAGCCTGTAAAACCACTGTGAGTTTCAGTTAGAAACTCTGAGAGACTTTATTAACGGTAAATTCTCAATTTGGCTGCTGAACACGTGCCAAAGTTTTACTACTGTAGTGACCGTTGAGAAGACCCTTGTTTATTTACATTTGAAGCACTGTTTGTGCAAACAACCTTTCATTGTTAAGTGCCTGTATTCCTTTCATTTACTTCATGTCCAGGGGTGCTATTTACCTAGAACCATTGTCTACTACAATTAACATTTACATTACAAAGTGTGTGGTTTTCTTTCTCAAGGAGGTTCAATTAAGGCAATAAGATGTTTGCTGGGGAAACCTATTGTTTACTGAAAGCACTCAATGGAGTCAAATTACTGAAGCTTTTGCCTACATCTTGGTCTTTTATGTAAATATGTTAAATATAACATCTAAGGAAAATAAACAATATTATAATTATGTGTTTGCCATTGTCATATCAAACTTGCTTTGTATCATACTAATGTTACATAACTTATCGATCAATAAAAATACATTTCAATGTTATTATTTTCATTTTATTTTTTGCTGTTCCACTGCTCTTGCTGCAACATGTCCCAATTTTTCTTTTTCCTATTACACATCAAACTTCTGACATTTTGTTTTATTTGTGTGTGTTGAAGAGAGGTACTGTATCTAAGCATGAGTCTGAAGGGTGTCCAAGATAATCTCTACAATGACCTTATAATAAGGTGATATTTCTTTGAAATCTGAAATATTCCAAAGGCATGTACATTTAAGTCAAAAGAAGTGTAAATATCAGTTAAGTAGTTCTTTGAAAGCTAGTTTTAACATTGGCAGAAACCGGATCAAGTTTATTTAGCATACCACTGCATTGTAAAACAGTTGGAGTGAAGTTGCAGGTTGCGTGAGTATGCATGTTAACTAGTGGGAACCAAGCACAGTCTTTGTGAAAGGGGAGCAGCAGATTGCTGTGCAAGGCCAATGTTAAAAAGGCAGCTGAATTTAACACCATCTGGAAGAAAAGATCCCTTCACGACTTTCTCACACCGTCAGACAAAACTAGTGTCTCTTGTTCCGAGCCCTTGTCTATGCAACCATACAATACTGAGTCATTATACTTTTGCTGAGAGAAAATTTGAGAACACAATATGGGTAACCAGTGAATGACCAAGTTTCATTGTGCCCGCTTAAGTCGATTGAAATCTACGTCTAGAGCTATGAATGGTAGTATTGTTTTCCTCACCAGGGCTGTACTAAATGTCAGCACAGTGTAAAGAAAAACTGTAAAGAAAAGTCTGCAAATAACTTACCAGATCTCAATTATAATATTTTCCCACACTAGAACTAATATCATTGCGAGGGGCTACATTGCAGAAAATACAAAAAGAAACGAAAAGAAATAGAGAGTTCATTTAGAAGTTATTTTATCCAGACAAACATTTTAATTTTCTGATGGGAACTTCAATTCAGGCTGCAGGCTGGGTTGAGAGGTGGAATTCATTACTAGGAAGTTCAAGTTACAAAAATGCTTCTCATGCAATTAAAATAGAATAAAACAAACACCTAGTCCCACCTGAAACCCTCTCTTCTTAAATATAAATGGACTCTACTTGGGTTTTATTGCTCCAGTTCCACTTAGAATTGTTAGTATGAATCTCTCTAAAATTTTGCCTTAAATTATGGCACATGGCTCTTTCAAAGTTTGCCACTATGATTGACATTGCAAAAGAACACCATAAACATACATTTCCAAAATTATACAAGAACATTCTGGCACCTCCTTAGGTGGATTCTGGTGCCCTCAGAAATACACTTCCCCTTTATGTTACACCCCTCCCCCCATTTTCTAACTTTTTTTCTCATGATGTGTGTAAATCAGTTACCCTTAGGTTTAACATTCACACAATCTATTTGACTGTAAACAGCCAGAAAAAGGAAACAAAACAGTTCAAAAGGAGTTGGTTGTGTATGTTTTATTAGGATGTCTATTTTAAATGTAATTGACTTTGCAATTTTGTTATTGTGTCACCAAGTGTCTTATAGTTCTTAACATGTAAGTGCAAAACAATGAGTAATTGCTGTTTTGCTGAATAATACATCTGAGTTGCCAACGTCAAAGGTATTATTTTGTGTATTTTTAAACAGGAACGTTAACTGCAGGTTTTGACATCTAGAATCTTTTCATGGAATACTTAGAAATAGGCTGATAAAATGATACCTGTAAAAGTAAATATAAAGATATAACTAACTTATTATACTTGTCCTACTTTATTATACTAGAAAATTGACAATAAAAGGTCATTCAATAATCGAATGCTAAAGGATATAACAAACACAGTTATACAAAAAAAACCTAAAACAAGAAGAAAAATGGAAATTGGATAGAGGTTTAAAAAAAAGATATATAGGAAGACTTCTGCAGTATTCTGCAGAATGTGAGTTGGGTATATTCACCAGTATTAATCCCCTATTGAAGTTATTATTAATATGCATAGTAATGAGATAAGTGCATTATTTACATTTAAAATGGAATATTTTTCCAAAGGGGCATTTCTTTAAGTCTTCTTAAACACAAAGAACACTTTTTACTACTAGTGCTCTCTGTGTTTATTTTAAAAATGAAAATACTTTCCTTGTTTGGAAAAATATGAAATTCTAATTTGATTTTGTGTAGTCTGATGAAAATTAAGAAACGACTTAAAAAGTAAGAGAAAAGGATGAGTACATTTCAAGTTCAGAAACATTCTTTTTATTCATAGACTACATATAAACACTTTAGGATATTTTAGCATCTTAAGAATTTTGACTTTTTAAAAATGGAAAGATGAAGCCAAAGGCTTTATTTTCCAATGTGGCTAGAATATGAACGAAAGCATGCGTGTAACTATCTTTGTATCTATTTTTCTATAAATCTGTACCTTTGGAAATGTTATTGTGGTTTAAGAATATTGACAACCTTTCCCACTATACCTTGCTGTGACTTCCTCCTCTAATTTGCTAGAGTAAGTAAAACACACCATAATGTGTTGTATTTGGATGGGTGCTGGGGGTGGTAGCATTGAAAGGGTGACATGGGACAAGGTGTCCTTTAAGAACTAACTAATTGGAATCAGTTATTGAGTAAAAAGATAGCTGTACTACTGAGTCAATTGTTTTAACATTAGTACTTGGAGACAGTTTAACAGGTCTACAGCAATGGGACATGTAAGGCAGTTCTTCAGTGTCTCTGGATTTTAATGGATGGCTTTGTTATCCTGTTTTTCTGTTCATCGGTTTCTTAACACAAGTTAAACAAGCTAGTATAGAAATCAGCAGAAACCTCCAGTCCCCTTTTGCCCAGGGAACCCATTTTACCCCTTCTGGGAATTGTTCAACTTTTTTTTTTGTGGAATTAATTCCAAGATGGTGAATGAAAATGAAAAGCATATAGTTGTGATTGATGCAAAGGAATATCTGCCTGCCCTCAATCAGGGCCGCGAGAGTTAGTGCACTTCCTTAGAAAGGTAATGACCATCTTTGAGGAGGGAGCATGTGGCTTTCCTCTTTGCAGCCAACTGCCAGACCACAGGGGGTAGGGCTTTTAAAAAGTGCAGATAATCGACTTTATTCAGGGAAATATGGAATTTTGAGCCATATTTGTTCAAAGAGAAGCACATCACTGTGCTTGGTGGTTTGACTCGGTTTTAGTTGAGCGCGGGCACAACGCATTCTGGAGATCTAAAAATAGCCGGGCTTAGCAGCCGCCTTGCAAGGTGCTCGGCGTGGGCGGTGCACAGAGGAGACAGCCGACGCAGTGACTGGCTGCAGAAGTGGCTGGGCTCGGCTGTGGCAGCGGCGAAGGCCGCCGGCCCGCCGCTGGGCAGGACGACGCCTCCGGGTGACCGCCAACTGCCCGAGTCCTCCCGCAGCTGCGGCTGCTCGGAGCGCTCGCCAGAAAGCGGGCGTCTGATTGGTGTTTCCCGGGAGACGGGCTGCCCCGGCAGCCCGAGCTGGTGCGCCGGCGCGCGCGCTCCCGCGGCTGGCGCGCGGCTGGGAGGCCGGGGGCGCGCTGCGGCCCGGGGAGCGGGCTGGGAAGCCGCCTAAGTTCGCGCGAGCTCAAGTTCCCGCGCCCGCCCTCCGCGGCTCGGAGGCTTGCGACCCGCGCGGCGGGACCTGGCGCCGTCCGGCCGTCAGCCTGTCCTTTGCCTGGCACGCTGAGCTGCGTCCGCGAAGGCTACTCTGTGTTTATTATTATTATTATTATTGTTTGCCTCCCCCTCGGCCCCTCACCGGCGACCTCGGCCTCTGCCTGGGCGCCAGCTCGGGCCTGCGGCTGCCGGGGAATCCCTGGGTTGGGCTTGTGAGCGGGGGTGGTGTCGAGGCTTAGTCTCGCCTGGGCGGCCGAGAGGGGCGGGCGTCTTCCCGCGGCCGCCCTCTGGCTCGGGGCCGCATCCCCAGGCCGCCAGGCAACTTGTGGCCGAGGGGCTTCCTTCTGCTGGCACTTCGGTTTCTCTGGTTTTGCCCGGGCTTCCTCCTTGGATACGACCAATGTCATTGATGAAGATATCGTGCCCCCCTCCCAGCACACACACACATTTTTTTAAAAAAAACCTTAGCGAAAAGCTGCTAATGGAAAGGGTGCCCCCCGCGGGACGCTCCTGGGGGGAAGTTGTGTTCGGGAGACGGGGCGGGCGAGCGCCCGCGACTCTGGGCCCTTCCCGGGGGCAACTCCCACCTCCGCGCCCATGGCCCATGAGGAGCGCAGGGCGCATCTTGCCCCATCATCAGATTTGCTGGAAATATTAATCTCCTTGTTGGGTGGATACAGTAGAACTTGTTCAGAGATTACTTTAAAAAGAGATCTGGGTCTTAAGCACTTACTAAAGCCAGTTAATAACATCATGCATGGACATTTAAACTTGTTGTAAGTTGCAGAGAGGATTAGCGGGAAGTCACGCTGTGCGCAGCTAATGATACCATCTTAACTCTAACCGGGCTAAATCCAGCTCGCCCGGCGTAGGTCCGGCTCTGCGGCCCTCGGGTGAGGCTAGGGAAGAGGGTCTGGAGAGAGCGGAGACCAGAGGAACTGCCTTGGTCCTCGCTTCGGGTGACGGTCACTGGTCCTAGGAGGCCGCAGGCGGTCCTGCCCCTAGGTGGGCCCTGCCCCGGAGACGAGGGCCCCAGGCTTCCTGGTGCCCACCGACGCCCCACTTATGTGACCCCGAAGGGCGCTGACCAACGTGCCAAAACATTTCTGATTCCATTAGCCAAAGGGTGCGCAAGGTCTGTTGCAAGCTCAGGTGAAGTCGCAAGGTTCCAAAAATGGTGGTTTTCTGGGCTACTGGTCGATTTGCATTATAAAGGCCGTTTACTTTCTATTCTACTTTTACAGAAGTAGTCAAACTCAGTACTTCACAGGTACATTTCAAAGTATAATATTAACAACTTCCTGTCATAGGCTTACTCAACTAGTTTCAAACTGATTACTGTTTTAAGGCAGTTTGCGACTACTTTATGGCAGGGCCAATTAGAAATAATCTTGGGGAAATGCTTCGAAAATGCTG